CATTTCCTCCTTTGCCCCCCTTCCCCCAGCCCCTGCACCCCTCCCCCCCAGGCCTTTACCACCACACTATTGTCTGCATCCAAGGGCTATGCATGTATATGCATATATGTTCTTTGGTTAATCTATTCCCGCCCTCCCCTCTCCCCTTCCCTCAGAGATCTGTCAGTCTGTTCCATACATCCATGCCTCTGGACCTATTCTGTTCATCGTTTTATTTTGTTCTTTAGATTCCACGTATGATATTTGTCTTTCTCTGACTGGCTTATTTCACTTAGCATAATAGTCTCCAGGCCGATCCATGCTGTTGCAAAGGGTAAGAGATCCTCCTTTTTCACAGCTGCATAGTATTCCACTGTGTAAATGTACCACAGCAAAAGCATCTACTTTTCAAACACAAAGAGTTAAGTGGCCTCTGCTTCATCCTCTCCACTTGCTGAATTATGACCTGAGCACTCTTTTAAAAATGCAAATTGAATTAAACCACTCCTCTGATGAAAACCTCAGATGACTCTACATTTCTTTTGGAACCAAATCTACTGTTAGGTTGTGGAGGAACACATGAGGCCAGAGTGGTGAGGGATTACAAATTCATTCAGTCATCCACACATCAGGTGGCTGAGCCTGGATGGCTCCAGCACCTAGTGAGGGGAGCCAGCGACTTTTAAGGACTTTTGGCGGGATTTTTCTGAGTGGAGACTTCTTTATGCAGACCCGGAGGGGAGAGGATGGAATGTGGTCCCCGAAAGTGAAAAGTGGTCTTCAGCAAAGGGAATGTCCATAGTGAAATGACCTGAAAAGCCAGTTCCCGGGGAAAGGGTATCAACTCCATTGCTCCATCAAACCTAACACCTACCTTCCTTGCATCGTCCTGAACGGTCCCATGTGGTATGCAAGATGAGTGACTTCTGTGACCCCATCCCCTAGTATTCCTTTGCTTGCTCACTCTGTTTGCCACTCTGTTCTCAGGATTCTGGAGCAAGCCACATTTTCTTCCCACCTCAGTGCCTTTGCACTTGCAGTTCCTTCTGCCTAAAATGTTTCCCCTATGGCTGGGTCCTTCTTCTCTTCCACCGTGCCCCTAAATGTCACTACCTTGACCTCTCATCGGCTTTCTATGACACTTAGTTTAGTTTCTATGAAAATTTGTTTAGTTTGTCCATTATTTCTTTGTGTCTGTTACTTCCCACTAGAATACGGGCTCCCTGAGGCTGCCACTTGTATATATTTCTGCGGGGTGTCTGTAAGAACAGAAAAAGGCCTTTCCTCTTCTTTGCTATGGCTTCCCACAGTTTATGAGAAGCACCTGGTCATTAAACTCCAAGATTGTTGGCTCCTCCTATTCAAACAGCTCCTCTGTCAAAACGGCAGGACAAGAGAAGCTACTCTCAAGGCTGCATTCTTGCATCCCCCTCCTCCCTGCTGTTTTCACAACTCAGGGATAATTTGCACCAAAGAATCTCTAGTTAGTAGAAAGTTCCCTCCCACCCCACAACCCTTCAAACAAGCCTCTTTTGAACTCTTCATAACTTTTGCTCTAAGCGTGTTTTACAGGCTTGGGAAAAATACCGATAAGACACCTCCTTAGGACATCTGCTGGACTGTCTCCTGGAAAGCAAACAAACTGTAACTTTTCAAGACAACCCCTTGATATCTGCTCAACTTCAATGTAATCCCCACTCCCTTCCTTGTCACTTAGCCACAGCCACTGCTTAAAAGAGCAGGCCACCCTTTCTTCCCTACCTGCATTGACTAGCAGTACTTGGCCCTTTCCTCTTTGGAAAGTAAAATAAACCTCCTCTCTGCATCTTTTCCCTTAGTTGTGAATTCTCTCACAGCCTGCATCACTAGCCAAACCCTAACAGTATCCCAGGGCATACTCAAGGGCCTGCTCAGTATTGGTGGGTAGAAGGCAGGAAGGAGAGAATAGATAGTTGGGCAGGTGGGTGGGTAGAAGAATGAATGAGTGGGGCCCCTGGCTATCTATACCCAAAAGATAATCTATCTTTTGATAAGTTGTAGCTCAGTTGGTCAGAGTATCATCCTGATATGCCAAGGTTTTGGCTTCGATCCCCAGTCAGCGCACATACAAGAATCAACCAGTGAATGCATAAATAAGCGAAACAACAAATTGATGCTTCTCTCTCTAAATAAAAAAAGAAGAATGATGAGTGGGTAGGTAGGTGAGTGGGTGGGTGGAGGGAAGGGATGAAGACAGACAGACAGGCAGGGGGGAGAGAGGAAGACAGGTGGGTTAACATACATCTAGAAGCGAAATGAGTGATCAAGAACATAAGATCAGCCTGGCTGGCGCAGCTCAGTGGTTAACGAGCAACCAGGAGGTCACGGTTCCATTCCCAGTCAGGGCACAAGCCTGGGTTGCGGGCTCCCAGGCAGCTGACCAATGATTCTCTCTCATCATTGATGTTTCTATCTCTCTCCCCCTCTCCCTTCCTCTCTGAAATCAATACAAATATATTAAAAAATAAAAATAAATAAGTGAATAATGTAAACTCAGGAGCCCAGACGACCGAGTTCAATCCCACCTCTGCCACTCACCAGCTGTGTGGCCTCGGGTTGTCAGCAGAACAGCACCAAAGTGTTACTGATGACTGGACCTCCGTTCAGCAACCTTGGTTCTTGAGCTCAGGGCCAAGACAAATTATAAGGGAAAGCTTATTTAGAAAGTCATAGAGGCAGACGAAGTGAGCGGTAGGAGAAATGGGCTCTGAAACAAGTTACAGAGGCAAAAGGGAGGGCCCCTTGGAGCCCAGGAGACAGAAAGGTAAAGGTAACGCCTGGGGGGAAGACGAGGGGAGGGGGGAAAGGCGCAGTGTGCTTCCTGGAGAGTGGGCCGTGGGTCCTCCATCCGAAGGGCTTTTAAAATGTATATATATTTTATTGATTTTTTACAGAGAGGAAGGGTGAGGGATAGGGAATTAGAAACATTGATGAGAGAGAAACATCGATCAGCTGCCTCCTGCTCACCCCCTACTGGGGATGTGCCCGCAACCAAGGTACATGCCCTTGACCGGAATCGAACCTGGGACCCTTCAGTCCGCAGGCCGACGCTCTATCCACTGAGCCAAACCGGTTACGGCCGAAGGGCTTTTAAGGGCAGGGATTTTTGGGGAGGTCCCAGGGGAGGATCTAAATAGAATTTCACCAGCTTCCCAGCTGTGCTCTTTCAGGGTCGTGGTCTCCACTGATTGGTCGCTGGGGGTCATTGGCAGGGGTCATTAGCCAGTGCGGCTGGTCCTGAGGCAGCCAGGGTGTCACTGGTCTGCTTTTGCTGCTTCTCTGGGCCTGGAGCTGAAACACAACTGAGCCTCACTGTCCTGGGGCTAATGCTTCCGGGCTATTCTCTGGCTCCACTGTTTGTCTCTCCCCCACCCCCCAGCCCCCCAAAAAGAGGGTCTAACTTGCATGATAGCAACAGGCCAGGGAAGGAAAGTTCAGGGGAGTGTCCAAACCACGCGGCCAGCCATGTGCTCGGGGAGGAAAGGTCACCCTGGGGGCGAGGTCCTTGTTTTCCCAGTTTTGCCCGTTGCTAGGCACCTGGGACTTTCCACGCTGGTGACCTTCTGTACCTGCCCGTCGTCCTTCCCTGCTCATGCCTGTCTAACTGCCTGCCACACTGGGCAAGCCTCTTCACTTCTCTGAGCCTCAGTTTCTGTATTTGTGAAATAAGGGTGATGACGACGATGGTAATAATAACGAGTTTCTTGACTTACTCTGAGTGACATACTGCATCCTTCAAGTCCTCGGCGCAGAGGAAGGTTTCAGCAAATGTGAGCTCTATTTCACTGCTCCTCTGCGTCTTCCCACTGCTGCAAACATCTGACGCGGGTATCGGGAACCTCGCCCTGAGATGGAGAGAAAGAAAACGAAGAGCTGGCTTTCTTCCAAGATTTGTTTTCCAGAGAACGCGCACATCCTTCCAACCAGCCAAGTTCCTCAAAAACAGCCAGAAAAAGAAGGAAAAAAAAATAGAAGAAATAAATAGCAAGATGCTTTTTTTTTTCCCCTTTGGACCGGACATGTGGGTTAGCTGCAAATTGTTTCCCAAAAATGAGTCAGTGGGGAAGAGATGACATGCGAGTTTGAACCTGTGTCATCAAAACATCATTAAATAGCCCATCCGCCCTGAGAACCTGCCATCCTCGTGTGGGCCCATTTCCACAGCCTGGTCGGACTTAGGAAGCCGACCCACCCAGGTTCGAACCCTGGTGGTGACACTTCCTCGTTTGTGTGACATTTCAGCCCTCTGAGCCTTGGTTTCTCCATCCGTGAAATGGGAATAGCCTTGTCTGCCTCACAGGGTTTGTGGGATACAGTGAGACCACCCAGGAGCCTACAACATGTCAAAGAGTCATAGTGGCAACAGCGGCCGCCATTCTCGTGCCCTTCTGCAGCTGCTGCGGCCAAGTTTGCTGAACTTTGCCCCCTGGCTTTTCAAAGGTCTGCCAGAGACATCTGACCCTCTCATCGGCCCCTGGCTCGTCAGCAAGACGGAAACCCTCTTTAGAATCCTTTTCTCTCTTTTCCTCCTGAATTCCCATGTGTCATGGCTGCCCCCCCCCCCCGCCCCGTCCATGGCTAGGTGTGCCCATTTAACAGATGGGCAAAGGGAGGCATTCAGAGAGGTGATGTGACATGCTTGAGGGATTGTCTCCTCAAGGGCGTGGAGACAGGGTCCTGCTGCCTGCAGTGCTGCAGCCATAGGCTGGATTCAAACAGGGGCCAAGGAATCTGGGGGGAGGGATCCCAAACTCAGACCTCACTGGGCCCGCAGGCAGCATGCCCGGGCAAAGCAGACCGGACTGGAAGAGGGGCTGCGGGGGGCGTGGGGGGGGGCGTGGTGTCCCTGCCATGGCTGCACCCGGGGACCTGGGCTCCTAGTCTTCTCTCTGAGCTGAGAGTTGGGCTCTCAGGACCACCAGGGGCCTCCCCGTCCAGCATGGCACCACACACCCCTCCTGCCTGCCCTCCCTGGGAGCTGGGACCCTCCCACCTCTTTCTCACTCCCTCTGGGGAGGAGCCAGCTGCTCTGTGGGCGGGGCAGTGGGCAGCCCTCACCACATCCTCCTCTTCCTCCTCTTCCTCCCCACCCCTCATACGCTCTGGGGCAGCGATGTCGGCAGCGGCTTCTGAGGGACCCACTGGGGGCCCTCTGCCAAGTGACTGATGGGCTTGGGGTTCAACTGCTTCTCCCTGAGTCTAACCCACAGCCTGCCTCCTGTCTGCCTGGCTAGCCCTTGCCTGCTGTCGGTCCATCCCTGGTGCAGCCGATCGGTCCCTGCCCCAAGATGATCCTCTTCTGTCCGTGTATGACCTCTCTGGGACGTGACTGACCACTGCGTGGCCTGCTTGCCCAGAGCCCAGCTCCCATCTGTCCAGGGGGCAGGTTGTATCCTGTCTGGTTGATGACTCGGTGTCGGCTGTGGATTCCCGTCCTAGAGTCCTGCCTGTCCTCCCACCACACGGAGCTCAGCTGCCCCCCTGGGAGCCCACTGAGCACCCTGAGCTCACGGAATGGATGTCTGAGGAAGAAGCGGGAATAGCAGGTAACTCCTCGACGCTGGGGCAGGGGCACCTCTCTGCCCAGGGGGGCCCAGTCCTCTCCTGAAGTGGAAGGGCCAGAGGGGTCCCGGGCCCTCAGGCCAGCTGGGGCCATGAGTGAGGCCAGCAGGGTTGGCTGGAGTCTCCTGTGCAGCCCGGCTCAGGTGGCTGCAGGGCCTTGGCGTGGGTCTGCTGGCGGCCTGCGGCCCGGGGCAGGGCATGGCCAGGTGCCCCGGGGGCTCTCTGTAAACCCAGCCTTCCAAAGGCAAGGGGCTGGGGAGGGAAAGCCGGTTCTAGATCCAATGTGACTCGAAAGTCCCCGAGGTTCTGGGCAGCTGAGCTGGGCAGGGGTGGGCTGGGTGTGACTCTGTGTCGCGGCTAGGGGGCCCATTTTGGGGGTGAGCGGGAGGCATCAACTGTGTGCCAACTTTTGTGTTGTATCTCTGTTTTACCTAATCCTTCAAAATGAGTTGGTGTGCCCATTTCACAGATAAAGAACTGAGGCTCTGAGAGGTAGAAAGATTTTCCCAAGGTGACTCAGGCAGGTGACTTGGGGGCTGGTCCTGCCCTCCACGTGCTGTCTCCTCATCCCTCACATAAAAGAACGGGACCAGGCGATGAGGGGCAAACCGGTGCTGTGCGCCCCATGGAGGCGAGGAGAGCGCCGGGGGCTGGGGGCTGAGGCTGAGCCTTGGAGGGTGGGTCCATTTCTGACTGTGAAATAGAGGTGAAGGCAGGGACAGGCACATTCCTGGCAGGGGAGCGGGGACAGCAAGCGCCTGGAGTGGGGACCTAGGACTCATGGAAGGAATGGCAAGTGCTGCTCAGCCGGAGCAGAGGACCCAGGGCAGGGGGCCTCATGGAGTCAGGGCCGCTGGGGGTGGGGAGGGCACCGGCATGACCCAGGCAGGAGGCATCAGAGTCGGGGCCACTGGCAGGGGGGGGGGGGCGGGGGGGGGGAAAGAGGGGGCATCTGCATGACCCAGGCAGGAGGCATCACGGAGTCGGGGCCGCTGGGGGAGAACACCTGCGTTCCCCTGGGGGAAGAGCTGGGCTTTCAGGGGCACGTGGCAGAGCCGGGAAAACCTGGCGGGTTCAGAGTCCAGCCATGCGGGACTGGGTAAGCCCGGCCAAGTCTCTGTGGCTCTTCTAGCTACAGGAGCCTTGGTGGTTTCATCTGTAAAATGGGAACAAAGGCAGCTCCATCCTCGTGGGGCTGATTGTGAGGATTTGAAGTCATAAAAATATGAAAGCTGCTGGCTGGAGGCCTTCCCAGGAGGGGAATTTACACCTGAGGAGCCTGGAGCTCGGGGGCGGTGGGGGGGCGGTGGGGGGGCGGTGGGGACCACTCTCCACGGGCAGTAGAAGGTGCAGGGCACCCCTCGGGAGCCTCAGTCTTGCCTCCCTCGGCCCCCTGGTCCAGCCTTCCCGGCTTGGGCGCTCAGCATGCTGCAGGCACTCGAGGGCCTCGTATAATCCCCCCAACACAGGTGAGGCTGCGGCCTCATTCAGCCCCGGTCACAGATGAGACTGCGGCTCCGTGGGGAGAACCTTGCCCCATGTCAACTGTGACTGGGAGAGGCAGAGCCCTGGTGCTGCCCACCCCGCCCCTGGCAGCGTGTCTGGATCCTCACAGCCCCTCTGCGGAGGACGCTAGGAGGGGGACGAGACCCAGGGCTGGGAGAGGGGCAAGCAAGGCGAAGGCCGAGCCCTCGGATGTGCTGCAGGCTCGCCCCACCCCAGAGAGGAAGAGGGGGCGTTGGAGCCCCTCAAGGATGTGGTTGGGGTGGGGTGGGTGGGCTGGGGGGGGATGCTGGAGGGAGGCCAGTTCAAGAGAAGGTGGAAACGCCGGCCACCGGAGGTTTTGGAGGCACCAGCTTCTCCGCAGCATCTCGGCCTTCTGGCGCTGGAGGGAAAAATGAAGAGAAGGAAGGAAGCTCTCCCATGGCCGGGAGGGGAGCAGCGCCTTCACGGTTGGTTTTGGAAGCAGCCAGACCTGGGTGCGAGTCCCAGCTGTGTGACCTTGAGGAAGCCACCAACCTCTCTGAACCTGTTTCCTCATCTGTTAGATGGACATAGAGCGCCTGTCTCGAGCTTGCTGTGAGGTTTTGTTCCACATGTATTTATGGAGCACCCACTGTGCGCCAGGCCCTGCCCTGCCCTGCCCCCGGGATGCAGTGGTCACAGCCAGCCAGCCAGTGGGAGGATGAGGCCACAGGGCACAGCAGTGCTCACAAGGAATGGTAGCTGATGTTTTACTTTCAATATTATTGGCGATAATCCCCTTGTTATTAGCTAGGACACTCGGCACAGCTTCTGGCATAGGCTAAGCCTCAATGAGTGATAGCTCTTACGATGACTCTACTCCCCGCGTTCACAGGTGGGGAAACTGAGGCTCAGCGAGGGTGGGTTTTTCTAGGGTCACCCAGGAAGTCATTTACAAGCAGAGGGAAGAAAGCTGTGCAGACAGGGGAACAGGACTTCCTAACAGCCCTCTCCTCACGTGTCTTTCTTCCCTGCCCTCCAGTGCCTCCAAGCCCAGGGGTGGGGGAGGGGGAGCCGGGAGGAGCCCCCACCCACCCCCTGGACTCACAGGTGCCACCCCCCACTCCTCGCTCTGGCACCCAGCCAGAGGGACTTTTTATGACAGCTCAAATGAGAGCTCTGAGTAAACGTGGAAATTCTGAAGCAACCTGAGAACATTCACTTCCCCGGGTGTGGGCAGGGAGCCCACTGAGGGCCTCGGATGGCCAGAACACCTGCAGCAGGAACCCAGCCTGCTGGTCCCCAGAGCCCCCAGGGAGGATCTGGTTATGCAAATTGTCCCCAAGGAGGTGAGGCCAGTGTACCTGCATGGCTCTGGTCCCTCCTCGCTGTGCAACCACGGGCGAGGCTCTGGACCTCTCTGGGCCTCTAGCTCCTCATCTGCCTGATGATGTAGACTGGGACTCGGACCTGCCAACTCTCCCCAGCACAAACCAGTGACATGCAGGCTGCTTTGGCTGGCACCGGGGCCAGGGCAGGCTGGTGGGGGCCTGATGGGCAAGAAAGGGATAAAAGCAGGTTGCCAGTCCTGCCCCCCGCAACCCCCCACCCCCACCTCGTGGCCTCAGCAGTTGTGGTTGAAAGCATTTTTTCTTTCTCTGCCTTGCAACCAGCCCCTCCTGGTCTGGGGAAAGTGGGGCTGGAGTGCGCTGTGGCTGCAGCAGCTGAGAGGCTGCACAGTCTGGGTGGAGATGGTAGGGCAGGTAGAGATGGCACAGGCAGGGGAAGGCTGCCGGGAGTGGGAGAGCTTCACAGCTAGGGGAGGTTGCACAGGCTGGGAGAAGTGTCAGCAGGAAAAGGTTGTTCAGGCGAGAAAGGGCGTCATGGACAAGGACCCAGGCTGGGCTGGGAGAGAGAGACTGAGAGCTCCACAGGCTCCGAGGTTGTACATCCTCGGAAAGGACAGACGCTGCCTCTCAGGTTCAGCTCCTACTGACGAAGCCATGATGCCGATGTCCTGGCATACCTGCCCTGACACACCCACAACCCACCTCGTCACTGGCAAAAAGGTAAAAAGCAACTAACATTACCCACACATCTACAGTGTGCCCAGCACCTGCCTCATACCCCCTCAGCCAGGCCAGGGCACAGGGCACTGCCCCCATTCTACAGATGAGGAAAACTGAGGCTCAGAGAAAGGAGGAGATGTGCCCAAGGCCCCACTGTGAGTGAGTGGCAGGCCGGGGGGCTGGCTCTTCCTCAGCCTGAGCGCTCCGTTAGGTGGGAACCAGCTGCTGCCCCCGGGCGCCCCGTTGTCCCTGTCTGAAGTGCCTTGTTACTAACCTGATGACAGCAGTCATGATGGCTCAGACCCTGGGAACGGAGGGTGCTGCCCAGGGTGGGGGCAGTTCCTGGAGACAGAGGAAGCTGATGGGGAAACCGAGACCTCTCTGGGGGCTGCCTCAGGCCTGCTCCTTGTATGACTGGACACAGTAATTCTTAGCCTCGTTCGTTCACTCCCCCTGCTTCTCCAGCTACTTGCTGATCACCCACTCCGTTCCAGGCCCCTTCTAGGCACTGTGGTGAACAACACAAGTCAATCTCCTGGCCACTGGGAGCGTATGCTCTGAGGCTGGAGATAGGTCATGAACACAAAACCAGGAACATGTACCGAACCGATCCTGCTATCACACTGTGAACAAGGAGACAAACGAAGGGATATGTGGCCCAGAGAGCTGCAGGGGAGGCCCGTTTCAGAGAGTGCAGATTGAAATCCGAGAATGAGGGAGCAAACAGCACAAGGAAAAGTGTTCTAGGCAGAGGGAACGGCATGTGCAGAGACCCTGAGGTGGGGAAAAAGTTGAAGCATTGGCGCTTTGTCCTGATCAAGTGCATGAAGATCCCCAAGGCGCCGAATTTAAAAAAGGGAGTAAAAAAGAGTAAGATTTAACTTGGGACCACAGTCTAATCGCTTTCAACATTGAGGTTAAGCTTCAAAGCCATCATTACTCGTATAGAAAGCGGGCCCTTTCATTCAGCCGCTCTTGCAATGACTGTTTTGAGCACCTACGTGTCAGGCACTGGGGATTCGGCAGTAACCGAGACACACGTGGCCCCGCCCGGATGCTGCTTCGAATGCCGCCGAAAGCACCACGAGCAGTGTGTCTGGTGGAGGCAGGGACCCCAGGGGAAGGAGTGACTCGCTCTCTGGGGAGGCCGGAGATTGACAGGAGGCGACATGTGAACTGGATTTTGAAGACAGAGTAGGAGGCTGGCAGTCGCCACGGCCCGCAGAGCGCTCCGGTGGCTGGGACGCACGCGCCCGGGCACGGCAGCCGGGTGGATGGCACGGCGGTGAGGCCGTCCGGACCCGGTGCATCCGGGGTCCGGGACGGACGCCGGCTGGAGGGGATGTTGGGGAGTGGATCCTGCAAGTTCTGGACTCAGGAATTTGGGGTTTTCTCTGAAGGTCAATGAGGAGCCACGGATGCCGTAGTGGAAGGAGGATGGGGTTGGAGGG